GTATTTTGGACATAATGGAAATCAAACGAGGGCTTAGTTTTTAAAAATTGACAAAGACATCCGCCTGGACAAGAGAAATGGTCAAACCGAGGTTGAATCGGAAATTAAAATAATTAATAAATAATTCATATATTCATGCATACTCCTTTTTTCTAACTTAATGATATACATTTTAAGTAAAAGAATATTTAAGACTCGTTACATAATATTAAATAATTATTAGAATATCTATTTAACTTAAAGTAAAGATTTATTGGGCCGGAATGAATGAATAATATGCAGTGGAAATTACATCATACCAGAATTTTAAACTTTAAATTTTAAAATTCAAATTTACAAGTTTTTATTTCAAAAATACACGTTTGGGAGAGATTCTCAGCAGATTTTTTAGAATATTTTTATTGTTTCACAGTAAAAACCAGCCGTCATTAGTGACCAAGAAATACAAAATTACGTATGTAATGACATCTAAAACACTAATTTCGAAAGAAGGATATTTATGAAAATTCAAAGTCGGACTTTTACGTTAGAAGGGGCCACTTTCAGTCCAACAATCCAATTTTTCGTTACAATTTGGTGAGAATATCCTCCAAACAAGGGGAAAGCATGTTATTAAATTTTGGAATAATTGGATATTTTCAATAAAACCTATTATTTTTATGTGCAACTTACGGTGAAACTTTACTGTGATATTTGATTATGGTGTATATAACGTTTCTTTTTAATTTGAACGTAGGAAAAGTTTTATTTAATAAATTATATGGATTTAATATGACAAGTAATATGAATTTCGTATTATTAATTCTCAATTTTGACTTGATGAATCTTGATTTACTTGAATTTATTTTTATTCATGTGTTTAGAAATTTTAATGGATGTTTATAAAAAAAAAAGTATTTTGGACATAATGGAAATCGAACGAGGGCTTAGTTTTTAAAAATTGACAAAGACATCCGCCTCGACAAGAGAAATGGTCAAACCGAGGTTGAATTGGAAATTAAAATAATTAATAAATAATTCATATATTCATGCATACTCATTTTTTCTAACTGAATGATATACATTTTAAGTAAAAGAATATTTAAGACTCGTTACATAATATTAAATAATTATTAGAATATCTATTTAACTTAAAGTAAAAATTTATTGGGCCGGAATTAATGAATAATATGCCGTGGAAATTACATCATACCAGAATTTTAAACTTTAAATTTTAAAATTCAAATTTACACGTTTTTATTTCAAAAATCAAATGATAATTAAAAATTTAATAATTTAACTTTTCAAAAAATAAAATTAAAACAGATGAAAACCCAATTCAACCCTAATTCCTCTCTCTCTCTCTCCCACACACCACTACTAGAGCACCGGCGGCACTAGGCTCACGAAGTCTCCGACTGATCAACATCTTCGATCTGATGTCGTCGAAGGGAAAAGAAAGCATCGACCGTTAGTAACAAACATCGCCGCAATAGGCGTCATTGTCGTTGTTCGACTGTTCGCGAGAGGTAGCGCTGTCGTCGTCGCTGTTCGCACCTCGCCAGACTTCGAGAGGTGCACCTCATCGGTGTTCGCAGTTACAGCAGCACCGTGCGAGGGAAAATGATGATTTGTGACTGATGCGGTGGTAGTGATTCAATGGTGGCGGAGACAGCAGGGAGTTTGGGGATTTTTTGGTGGGTGTGGTGGTTGGAGTGGGATGAAGGTGGTGGTTGTATTTTTTGTACAGGAGGTGGTTGTGCTACTTCTGCTGGTCGTGACGCTGATGGTCTGGGGAGGATGTGGCGGTGATGTTGGTGGTGGCGATGGCGATGGTGGTTGGATGGGGATGTGGTGGTGGTGTAGGATTCTCTACCGGTTTTAGATATGATTTGTTGGTGGTGGTTGGGTGGCGGTTGTGGTGGTTTTGATCTGGTAGAGGCTGTGGTTTTTGTTGTCGGCGTTGTTGGTGGACCTGGCGGTTGCGATGATATTTGTTGAATTTAGTGGGAATGGATTCAGCGGTTACAAAAACGGTTTTGTAGTTGAAAATGGTGGTCGACTGGTGGTGGTTCTGGCGGCAAAGGTGGCGGTGCTGCTGTTGAGGGAGTAGTGCGATGGTGGTCACAGATGTTGGATGGGATCACAAATTATTTGGTTGATTATGACTTTTAAATTGATTAATCTGTGACCAACGAAAAAATAAATTGTGACAAAAAATAGTGCGTGACCTAAAAGTTTTTAGATCTGTGACAGAAAATTTGTGATCGTCTACAAAGTTGCGAGTTATAATATTCGTGATTTGTGATCGATAAATAAATTATAACGTATAAATTTTGATTTGTGATCGATGAACAAATTGTGATTTATAAAATTTCTAACTTGTGATCGTAAAATAATTTGTGACCTATAAAATTTCTGATTTGTGACCGTAAAATAATTCGTGACTTATAAAATTTTTCATTTATGACTAATTAACAAATTGTGAAATATAAAATTTTTGAATTGTGACCGTAAAATAAATTGTGACGTTTCAATTTTTTATTGATGACCGATGAACAAATTGTGACTTAAAAAATTTTTGAATTGTGATCGAAAAATAATTTGCGATATATGAAAATTGTGATTTGTAACCAATTATATGGAATTTGTGACCAAATTATATGAAATTGTGACCTTAATATATTTAATTAATAAAATATATGTTTAATTAATTAATTTATAAATAAAATTAAAAAAACTCTGAAATTTGAAATTTTAAACTTAATTTTTTAAATTTAAAATTGGTAAAACTAAACCTCTTATTTATGAATTCTTCCCTAATATGTAAAGTAAATTCAAATAGGCCCAAACGATTCCCTACATATATAGCCCTTGAGCCTCAATTTTTGTAAGAAAATGTGTTATGCAACAATGAATTTTTTGAGAATATGTAATTCAAAAAAAAAAAGTAAAAGTTTTCAATTTATGTATAAAATTATTTTATGGAAGAATGTGTGGTTGAAAATAAGTTTTGGAAAAATGAGGTCATGTTTGAGTCATATTATTTTTTTCATTCTCATTTTTCTACTCATTTTTAACCAAACATTATTCAATAAAATAATATTTTTCATCACATCAATAATTTTTCTTTTTTAACCACATATTCTTCATCACATCAACAGTAAAAATACATTCTTTTTTAAAAAAATGTGCACCAAACGGGTCCACCACAAAATTCCTAATAGAGAAGAAGGCGTTGCCGCTGCTCTATATTTGTCCTGCAACTCTGATCTCTACATTGCAGCAGCTTCTTTTTTATTTTTGTCACATATTTGTCTCTGCTTTTTCTTTTGGATTTTCGGCTATCTTTGATCATTTGGCATAAAAAAAAAAAATAAATAAAAAAAAAAAAAAAATAAAAAAAACTACATATTCTTCCATTCCATTCTACTTTTTTTCCATTTTTTTTTTTTGTCAAAATCAAAATCAACCGGAAAACTTGTTGAGACTGCTTCCGGTTCACCAATTTTTGATAACCGTATGGTTTGTTGGGTTTTCCACTCGTTTCTATAGTCACGATTTTTAAGAAACAATCGGATCGACTATCTACCCTGTTCCGATGAAATCGATAGGTTTTTCCCCTCAGTTTCCTATACATAAAAATTAAAAACAGAGTTGTCACTAATAAAATTCCCCCTGCAGAAAGAATGGATCCAAAATCTGGAAGAAGAAAAAAAGACAATTTAAACAGAGAAAAATTATGGACTTGAACCTTAATACCTTATCCTCTCAGAATTTAGCCCCTGTTTGTCTACCATTTCCCGAAAATTGTTTTCTATAGTAAACAATCTCCAGCACATATTCACCTAATAAAATATTTTACACATAAATCAATAAAGTTACTTTAAATTTCAAAACCACACATTCTCCAAAAAATACTATTCATTACACCATTTTCCTCCTCATAATGGTAGACAAACAGGGGCTTAATGAAATTACCATAAAAGTGTAGATTTTTCACTTGGAGTCAAATTTACATACAAATTAAGTGAGAACAAAATGTCAACAAAGTAAATTTGAAAAATACCATTGAGAGATATCTAACCTTTTGAGAAAGTTCGGCCATGGAAGTTGTGATTAGTGTTGTAATTCTATAAAATATTTAAAAAAATAAAAATAGTTGTACAAATAACAAGATGGAGTCGTGTTCTTCATTACCGTCCCATCCTCAATCCAAGACAAAGAATTTTGTCTCGTCCCTGCCCAGATACCCAATTAACCAAAAAATCCCAACCCTATTAGGGTCGGGACACCGCAAGGATCGAGGAGGTGGCCAAGCTGGAGAAAAGAAATACAAGGTAACAAGTGATGAAGAAGAAGCAAACAAAGCATGTCCTTGAAAAATTTGTGCATTACCAAGTTATTCAAGATTTCACATTGAACTGGTTTTTGTCATTGAGTTTGGCCAAATGCACATCTTAACATTAATTGTTTTTGACATTCAGTGACCCATACACGTGTCTCAACGCGTAGATACAATTCTGTCCCAACATTCTCGACTTGTTCAACTGTTAGTGAGCAATTTTGGGATATAAAACAAACTTCCCCAGAAGGTAAGTACAACACCGCACAGGTCCATATGCACAACTTAGTATCCATTATTTACAATTAGGACTACTTGAGTATCTAATCTCATTCGTTCCCTTGGCTAAAATTGAAACATATTCCTAGGAAGGATTGTTCATCTTCCTACCACTAACTAGTGCACCTGCACACCATCATAATTTTCCTCAAATGTATTTTCAGTACTACACAAACTTAAGAAAGAGATTGTTGCCGTGTTTTATCCAATCCAACATACTAAACACGCTTCAGAGACATGAAAATTACAGTCCAATCAGGAAAAAGAAATAAGTTTTTAATAACAAGAAAAAATAATGTAAAATTACACTCCCAGCACCTCCACAACATAAATTCAGGCAAGCCTTAATCGAGAATTGCAAATGTACGTACGAGTATACCACCGTCCAGTTACAAGTTTACACAACTATGAATTTACATCCTCGGACAACCCAAGTCCCACATTGCCCCACGGAGAAAGGTGCAGGTGAGATCAAAGTTCTTTCAACTGAAGGTATACCAATTATTCGCTCAATCCGAGCAATTGGAGGGACCATGTGTATTGGAATACTCTTGCTATGAACTGGATTATGTTCAAGATAATTACTCAAGGTGAAGATAAGCCTTCTATTTGATTTTCCTCTAAGCCATGACCACTGGGCATAAATTAAGTCAAGGATCATGAGGAAAACCTTACCTTGACTTTGATTTATTTGCCCAAAACGACCGCCTCGTAGAGAGAGGAAAGATAACCTCATGGATATTGTTTAGAAATCCTCTATCGTACACATTATTCTTAACTACTTCCAATTCTTCCAGACGAGATCTTCTGAAGAAGGACTTCCATTTGCTTTCTTGAGGCTTCATATCTTGACCTAGTTCATCTAAACTTGCTTTTAGAGCTTCTGCACTTGCCTTTGCCTCGCTCACCTTCCTCTGCCAGCTCAAGTGCTCTTGCCACTTAAAAGACTGCATTTTAGTAGAGACAAACTCAGTAAAAACACTGCCGGCTCAAGTACTCTATCACACGGCATTGATCAGATTCTAAAAAGTGTATATGATTTAGCACACATAATAGACTGATGCAGATAATTGCTATGTGCATCATCAAACCAATAACAATAATGAGAAATAAATCAGAGATTCGACCCTACCAGAAATCTAATTATTTCTGCTGATTGTTCTATATAAATTGATTTTAATTTTCATTGTTCTCATTTTTGTTTGCACGGGGATTTCTGATACTTATAGAAGTTCTTCATATTTTCTCTCCCCCTGGTATCTAGATGGAATATAAACTAGGAAAAGTACTGCGCATTTTCTTGAAATTGATTAAAATATTTGTGCGGTAGGTTGCTAGAACTTCCGATTTGCATAGTGAAGCCTCAAGGAATCTTTCCAACTTCTTTTAGTTACCACATACATAGTTGGCAATAAAGCATGTGTTAGTTACATCTATGCAGCTGCCTTTTAATTATTGTTTCTGAATCTTACGGTTGTATACCGTATCCGTATGGACAATGTGTTAACCTCCAACTATTTAAACAAAACATCAGAACTTTTTTGTGTCAAATCCCAATATAAAAAAAAACTGATAGCAACTGGTTACCTTACACAATAAGTGACATGTTTATATAGAAGATTTCTAGTTTTATTGTTCATTTTTGCCTCATTTTCCATGTGCCCATCCACCACAACTGTGAGCTCAACAGGTAATATTTCATTTGATTATTTGACAAATATCCCTTGAATGTGAGTCCATGCATGATTATCAATTATAACCAAAATGTCATGAAACACTAATTTTTCTTTAGTTTGGTGGATTTCTATCGTTGTCAATTTATCACGACATTTATCTAAGCATCAATACAAATTTATAAATGGTTTATACATTCAGTCAAAATCAAACATTAATTTAAATAACAAATTCATAACTATTAATCATTATTATGCACACAATACATGGGACCCACTACTTTTCCTCTTACTATTTCTCTTTATACAACATTTATAAATTTTCCAAATGGAGGCTAAGTTAAGCTATAAGAAAAAAGGATATTTGCAATAACGGTATCCTCGTTATCTATTTGTAATAATGGTATCCCCGTTATCCTTTTTTGCAGCATTTAACCAATATTTTCCAATAACACTCGTGATAAATGATAATGATAGAAATCCACCAAACTAAGTCCGTGTTTGACGACCATTCTTTCAAAACGTTTTTTTTTTCTCATACTCATTTTCAACCATACATTCTCACAATAAAATATTCTTCACGTAAATCCAAAACTTTTACATACTTTTTAACCACATTTTCTCCCAAAAAAAAAAATTACTATTCAAAAACTCACTCTCTTCAAAAAAAAAAGAAAAACTCAAAAAAATGGTTGTCAAATGAGGGCTAAAGAAATATACAAGCAATGTTTGCATATATTTTCATAATCCACATTTTTAGGCAGAATTTATTTACATTTTTGGAGAAAAAATCTTTTATGTATAGAGAACCTACTTTTTGCATACAGTAACTATATGTCACTACAAATGACGTTTTCAATTCTTATAACCAAAAATTTCAAAGGATTTTTCTCAAAGTGATAATGACACTGAGTAGAATTATTAATTCTGTGATGTGAAACAAAATTTTGGAAATTTTATTTGTGATAAATTCAAGGGAATTTTATTGATTCTTATGGAATTCAATCATTTAACATTAAACTTCAGAACATGAATTGTACTTTAATTGGGTGAGTTTATTTAATTAACTGATATGAATGTATTAAATTAAAAAATGCCCAGCACTGTATTATATTTATTTTTGATGATACACCACCAAGATCATTTTAGTTTTCCTATTCAAATATATTTATTCTTGTTGCACCAAAGGGCACAACAATCAGGAACACAGTGCAGGTGGTGTGTGCAAGTTTATAGTTCTCATCACAGGGTGATGAATAAAACGAAACTGAATATAGCAGAAATCTGAAAGAAATATACCTCATTTGTGGTAGTGTTTGAAAGACAGAGTTTGGCATGGTATGCGAAGAATCCAGCTAACAGCAGAGAAACTAAGGCTAAAAACATCATAATAAGTATTTGAGTGTTGTACGCGCCCAACAACCACTGTCATAAAACAGAGAACAATCAATAAAGTGAGATAAAGGGTGAGAACATAACAAAATTACCACTTATCCGTAAGGAACATATCCACCTATTATTTAGAAGGAACTAAATAATCTCAATAACGAACAATTTGCGGATCACTGAAGTAAAAATAGAAGAAAAATGAACAAGTTGATTGCCACTAACTATAACAGTGGCTATCGGTTCTATAGGTTCTCCGCATTCATCAGTAATGTTAGAGAAGATAATGTTTCACCCCTGAATGTCCATTACTAAATCGTTTTACCCAACTACATAGGACGTTGAAATTTATCTCATTAACTTTTCAATTTGAGAAGATCTTTGGACCTTCCTATGCTTTTTTACTCGAATTAGGTTATAACAAGTCTGCAACAATGGGAAATGGATCCCATTATCAAGATATGCAAATGGATTGGCTGTAATTACAATTTCTTCTAAGAGAGCCATCTATAGGGAAGCAAAATGCACAGGCCACTTAAGCCCCTGCCTGGAAAAGCTCATTGGTGGATCGTTCAAGTTTGGCATGGATATTGGATTGTTTATACTCAATAGTTTTAGCAAGATGTAAAATAACATTTACTTACCTGTACAACTTGCGGAGCCAAAGCCCTAAAAGAATTTTCAATGCCATAATACTCTGCAACAAAACAGAATTAGAGATGCTTGCTCCAATTTTTAGACAAAACTCAAGAACCAACAATAAAATGTCAGGATACATGAATTGCACCTGTTAGAATGTAGATTACTTTTAATTCTTTCAGCCTACCAGCAAGAACCAATGCAAGGGCTACTATTCCATAAATGCAGATAACGAAGTGCCTGCATGAATGTTAAGAACCATTTGAAGGAGAATCCAGATTTGGAAAGAGAAGTCTTATAATCACAGAACATCAAACTTGCAAATCTAAGTAGACAAATTACACCACAGAATTGTGTAGTGCACGCTGATGAAACATTCATATACCTTCATTCATACAAAAATATGTTCATAAAAATTATTAAGCATGACATAGAAAATTCCAAAAGACTAGCAAGATCTAAAACTACACTTTTCCTGGTTATAACAGAAATGTTATTCAGTTCATCACTCACCAAATAATAAAAGCCATGAAGTATCTGGTGTTTCTCTCCCCAATGCAATTGTTCTGCAAATGAGATCAAGAGAAAAATCTCAAAACAATTGACAATCTCTGATAACAGATCCCAAGGTATCCGAACTCTCATCAAGGAGGGTAAGTAAAAAGTTTATTAAACAAACCATCCATCCACAATGATGGTCAAACCGAGCAACACAGCGATTGCATATGCTGCAGTGCTTTGACCTAGCGGGCCTGAATGAGGGAAGGAGGAATATTAAATCCAATCAGCATTTTCTCGGACAAGTTTCAAAAGTCTAATAATAAGAACAATGAACTTACTTCGGGATCTTGCAAGTAGAACATTCTTTCTCTGAGAAGATAATGTTGTCATAAGGATAAGCAGAAAGATATTGAGGGACATTTGCAGAAGTCACAGTTCCTGGGTCCGAAAAGCTAGTCAATAGGAAGAGAAGAATACCAATGCCAACTGCCAAGAAGCTCGTGCACCTGCAATTACATAATGGTCAAGAAATTTTTTACATTTACAATATATCAGTATGCAAACATCAGCCTTAAGAATACCATTAACACCTGTGCAGTCCACTTAAGTAGTATCCAGGAATGTAGCTGAAGGATGACGTTGCAATGAAGTAATAGGTAGCTCCAATTATTCCCAAATACATTATCTGGATTCAGGAGGAAAAGTGGATAACGAAATATTTTTCTATAAAAAAAGGTTAAAAAGATGAAGAAACAAGAAAAGAATGTTCATTTTTCCCCAGCATCATCTTCCTATTTGGAATTTCAGATTAATGCTAAAAAAAACTGATCCTATCTAGGAATATTTGGCATAATTGATTTTTGAAAAATATGACTATACTTGTCCTTTTGTTTAGCTACATTTTCTAACTTCCTTTTCAGCTTAAAGTTTTGAAAGCTGTCACAGCAGTCGAAAATCGATGGTTAAGTAAGATATGGTACATTGCATAGCATTGTAGTAACCAAGCACAAAAGCTATTTAGGATACTGAAATATTTTTATAGACAAAATCACTTGGTTTTATAAACACTTTCTCCTCTTTTATTGCACGGGTGCTCAGGGGATCCTGTCCAGACCAGTCTTTACAACACAAAAAGGAATTGAAATACATCCCTACAATTCTTTTCCTCTTGAAGTACAGAGAGCATTTGAGGCGAGAAAGATGATTAACTATTCAGCAATTTTGACCAAATACTAAAGTGTCTGAACTAAGGATACAACTCTGTTAGAGAAAAATGGAAGAAGAGGATTTATGTAGCTACCTCAAAATTAGTATGGATAAGGTTCTCTTACGTTGTGTTTGTCTACAACAAAAAATAATATGGATTTACAAATCAAATATAGGCCCTTGTCTGAAAATGTCTACATTGTCCCTTAGAAAGCAGTATGATACTGGGGATTCACCTACTATATTTTTGAACCCTCCTAATATTAGAATTTGTTCAAGACCTAATTCCATACATCTGCCAGTGATATATTGTTATCATATATATTTCTTAAAACTCTATACTTGTGCTCTAAGCTAGTCGACATTTTAGAATCTTCATCCTCAACTATTGCTCTCCCTTCACACTTGGCATCAAAAGGTAAATTTATCCCTAGGTTACTACTTACTTGAAAAAAAATATTATCTATTTCTCACTCATCTTATTCAAACAGATCTCCATCCTGGGGTGAAATCCTTTATTCCCACTTGACGGAAATTACCACTTGCCCAACAAAAATCAAACGTGGCACCTTGACGACGTTAAATTGTTAAGTTAATTAAATGAATGCTCGTTAAACTTATCATATGTTACTACTTAACCACTTAACAAAAAAAATGTTACTCATTGCTCATTCATAAGTTAGGCCCTGTTTGAACCACTTTATTGTAGAATGAGAATGAAAAATATAGCCGTTATTGGGGTCCACACAAAAGATAGAAAATTTGAATTTAAATGTTGATGTGATGGATAACGGTCATATTTTTCATTTTAATGAGATAAAAAGGTGGCCCAAACGGGACAGGATTGACAAACAAGTTATCCATTTTTCATTTTCACTAAAAAGGTGGCCCAAACGGGAGCTTACAAATTAGCTTTTCATTGTTTAAGTTGCTAAAATACAAATTCTCAAAGATTCCAAAAGACGAACTTAAGTTGCTCAAAATAATTCATGATTTTCTGCAAAAGTATTAATACCCACGTAAACTTTATTTTTTGTTTTGTACACATCTTAAGGTATTTATCCCAATAGCGCAAAACATTTATTTCCATTGTTTCATTATATTTTACTGTATTTATTTAAATATAAATTATTGAACGTTGGAAAGATGACAACATAGATAAAAAAAATAAAAAATCATGTTTTTGTTTTGAAGTAACATCAAGAAAGTCATTACTGTAGAAATAGTGAGACGTGACCCTAAGCAATTATGGTACGGTATCTATAATCATGATATTAATATGAATACCTATATCTAAGGATATGCATACTCATATGTGACCACACTTACTTGAGAACATTTGTATCCATAGTCTAAGGAATATATTCCATATTTTAAAAAAATCAGCTACTCATGGGGCGCCACATAATTTAACTCCATATATGAATGGGTAATAGTTTTAATAGATGAGTAAGCAATTGGTAACTTTTTTTGCCAAGTGATTAAGTAATAACCTAGAGATAAATTTAATGAGCATTCATTTAATAAACTTAACAATTTAATGTCGTCGAGGTGCCATGTCTGAATTCTGTCGGACACATGGCAATTTCCACCAGGTGGGAGTAACGAATTTCACTCCAGTGATGGATAAGTAACCGTTTAAATAGATGAGTAAGTAATGGATAACCTTTTTTTTTTTTTTTGGTTGAATTATTAACATATGGATCAGTTTATTGATCATTCATTTAATTAATTTGATTCTTTATATGTTGACGATGGGATTTTGACAACAAAGTCATCTCAATTCAACACCAATTTCCAACGAGTTAATTTAATCAACGGCCACTAAATTTTGCAATGGTTACTACTTGCTCATCAATCTTTAAAAAGTTACTCGTTGCTTACTGAATTTTGCTATATATTACTGTTTGCTTATTGAAATTTAAAAATTTACTCGTTGCTCACCTAAATTCGAACAAAATTACTCATTGCTCACTAAACTTTGCTATAATTAACAATTACGGAAATGATACGGGTGATTAATGAGTAATTTTATTCAAATTTGGGTGAGTTACAAGTGACCTTTTAAATTTCGATAAGCAAGTAATAACATATAGCAAAGTTCAATGACCAAAGAGTAACTTTTTGAATTTCGATGAGCAAGTGGTAATCTATAACAAAATCCAGTGATCATTGGTTAAATTAACCCAATTTCCAACTATTCACAAACAAAAGAGAGCCTGAACTAGAACACAAAAACATTACCCATATAAATAAGGAGCGAATAGAAGAATCAAGAATTACACTCACGCAATCCCATGTATTACCTTTCCATACTAAAACACACAGAAAAATGCATAACCACGAGACAATAATTTAATAATAAAAAAAAATAGCAATTAGGTAATACTATTACAATAATGATGGTTGGTAAACAAAAGGGTGTACCTGTAAAATGGGATTAGGCCGGTCGCAAAAATAGTATTCAACGGAGTTTAGGGCATTGATGCCTCTAGACCCACACACAAAATGAATAAATCGCCTATCACATCAATTCATACAGATTAATTACCACATTAATATTAGCAGTACTAACTAATTGGCAGAAACATCAAATAACCCCTCAAAAAAGGGTATTTACCGGAAATAATCATAGGCCCCGAATGTGAGAAAAAAGTGGATACGCTGAATGAATGTGCCCTGGAAAATGGGCCAATTCCCGCAGAGGAACGATACCACCACCAAAAGCGTCACCAAGCCGTGGCACACCAGAAGCCACTGCACTTCCATGGATTAAAAGTAAATTTTTTTGGGCAAATTGTAAGTGAACTTTATGGTGATTGTACTCAATTTCATATATTGCAAATCCGCCAATACGTAATTTGCAACGCTGTCTGTAGATTCCCACACATGTATGTATGATATGTATATATGGTGTGGATCTGGAGACTAATAAGACTTTTGACTTTGCAGTCTCTGCTACCAAAGGTGTGCACCCAGGAAATTATAGCTCGTGTTTGGCAATGTTCTCGAAAATTAACTTATTTATTTTTTAATAATATGATTCAATTTAAATACAAAATATAAATTTAAAAAATTATAGTCATGGAGAAGACCGTGTTTTTCGTTCCTAACCTAATTTTTGATAATAGACATTTTGTCATTCCTAAAAATAATCTCAATGGTTAGTGAACTTTTAACAATATTTTGTCATTCCTAACTATCACTCAACTTTAAAATTCTTATAAATACTCCCTGAACTTTCAATGTTATTTATCAAAGCCATTGAACTTTAATTTTTTTCCTAAATAATAATTGTACTTTCATGGTTGTTGCCTATCGGTTATTATAATTATAACGTTATTTTGCATTCAGTGTCGCTTCAGATCATTTGAAAATTTAAAGATTTTGTCTATCCCATTATTCTAATAGTCTATTTTTTAGTGGAGTGAGATGAGTGACGAATGAAATATAAAGTTGAAAATAGAAAATATTAAGGTTTTCATTGCAAATATTGAGAAGAAGTCATTTTGAATTATTAAACAATAGGGCTTGATAAATTTTCAAATGCCGTCTAATTAGAAATGTAACCATTCTAGAAAATGGTTTGAATTATCTGCCCATCTACCACTATGAAGTCCCTGTTTGGTATAGATTAAAATCGATTTTTTAATAGATTTTGATAAAAGTTGATGAAATGTATAATTGAAAAGTTGTGCACCCCATGAAATGTGTTGTTAAAATTAATTGTTGACTTTATTTTGAGATTAAAATCAAATTTTAATCTAAACCAAACGAGGGCAAAATAATGTGAAGAATTTTGTTTTTAATTTTATCTTCCTTTTTTCCGAGCATAGTACATGATGATATAAGACAAGTGATCTTGAGATAAAGACAAATATGACAACTTTAATTGTGAGTTCTGATTTTAAAAATAAATCTCATAGAATTGAATGATAGAAAATTACTTTGGTCTCTATCTCTACTTTTGTAGAGGATTCAATCTCCAAATGATACGATATAGAAGTTGGGATGGCAAAAAATTCGTTAAATAAGATATACATGGGTCTCGTTTCGAATGGGATGGGGATTTTGCCACCTAATCAGGTACATGGGGTAGGAAGATACCGAGGAACTCTCATTGCATTTTGGGACTCTACATCTTAGGAATTTGGAATTGAGCCCCATGATTTAATTCACATGTGACCAATTTAACTATTTACTTGATTGATTGAATACACTTATGACTATGATAACTTGAAATTAATTTAAGGGAGAATTGGCTAAAGAGCCTAGTCAAACAATGTATTGAGTTAATTAATCATTTCTCAATATTTCTTGGTCAAATAGCTTTCAATTATAAAATACAATAAATAAACAATATCAAATGTCATAAATGCTCCTTCTATGAGAAAAGAGTCTAACACCCTTATCAATCCAATTAATTCCTCAATTCAACTTTAGGTCATCAAATCACAATTACCCATTTTCTTATTTTCAACTGTCATGCTACTCTAAAATCTCGTTATTTATCAAATTTTTCATATATTTTGAGTATCATTTGACTATTTGAACAAGAGTTTGATAAACATATTATATATAATGAAAAATCTCATTTACATTTGAAAATGGAAGAAAAATACTTTTAGAAATTTCATATAGGTTGTACTTTTATTATTGTATATATTATTAAATAATATTTAGTTGGTGTTGTTTATGTATTTAGTGTTTTTTTGTGTTGTTTGGATCTATTGAATGATAATGACACTCCATCTGTTATCTGGAATGTAAAATGCCACTCCGACCTTTATTTGCTACGTAAAACAGCACCATCGTCATTATTTGTAGTTTGATTTTTTCAACAAAATGACTTTAAGCCCCCATTTGTTTCTCATTTTTCATCCATAAAAATGAAAAATATGACTGTTATCTATCACATCAAGCTATCAATTTTGAATTTCTATCTCTTGTGTGGGGCCCAATAAAAGCTATATTTTTCATTCTCATTCTACAATAATGAGAATCAAACGAGCCCTAATAATAGACTCCATAACGTATATGCCACAAAAAGATTATCATGTCACAAATAACGGTTGAAATGATGTAGCTTTTATATTATCAAAATGGTGAAAACACAAGTCATCCTACTCATATGTGTTGATTAAGTTAATGAACATATCTCTCAACTTTTATACAAGCATTTGCATAATACAATGTAAATAAGTTCCACTTATTATTTCTCGACACGCAAATGGGTCGTTGTTTCTTATATGTGTGTTTACACACGTAACGGCACAAGTACCGTTTTGATGTCCAGTAACGACACTTGTGTCGTACCGAAATTTTAACCTGCATACGAATTTATCTACAAAACAACATTTTAATGGACTCCCTAATGAATGTAAC